CCACGCATTATATACAGACATCACACTTTGCATTTGTACACCCTGGAACATGCCGTGCCAGAAGGATCTCAGGGGAGGCTGTATGTGGTCAGGCCTCCAGAAAAAAAAAGGAAGTCACATGCAAGTGAAACAGAAAGGAACAGAGGAGGGAGGGGAAACAGAAAGAAAGTAATCGCCTGTTTGAAGTGCATTTCACTTGTTTTGTGTACAGAGTGTTCAGCTTATACAGGAATCCGAAGATGTTTACAGGGTGATCCCTAAGATTCAGAGATGGGGCAGGTGACGACAAGAGATGGGGCATTTTTTGGTGGTGGCCATTACCCTTTGGAACCACTCGCCACGGAGACTCATCTGGCATTAGGGTTGCCAGCTCTGGGTTGAGAAATACCTGGGGATTTTGGGGGTGGGTTGGGGTGGAGCCTGGGTAGGGTGGGGTTTGGGGTGGAGGGTAGAATGTCCCAGAGGGCAGAATGTCCCATTTTCTCCCAGGGAACTGATTCCAATAGTCTGGAGATCAGTTGTAATGCCAGGAGATCTCCAGGCCCAACCTGGAGGCTGGAACCCCTACAGCTCATAGGGGTGGTGGTTTCCACCCAACCAGAGCAGGACTTGGGCCACCCCTTGCTGCAGTATTGGGGGGGGGGGTCGTCTCACAAGTCATTCCCCCACCCAGACATTTTGCATTCGCTTCAATGGCTCATCGGCCCCTAACGGCCTGATGTATGTTGGGGCAGGGGCTGCCTGCAGCCGGAGGGGGCTCCACACATTCTTGCACAAGGCCTTTTGCAAACGGAGCAGGAGATCACACAGAATGGCTAGAGTGTCAACAGTAGGACCTGGGAGACCCAGAATCAAATCCCCACTGAGCTGTGAAGCAAACGGGTGACCTGTGACCTTGCTCACCCTCGCCTACTTCACAGAGTTGTTGTGAGAGCAAAATTAAGAAATGATGTATACCACCATGGGCTCCTTGGAGGAAGGGCAAGATAAAAATGTGATAAACTCCCCCCCCCCCACACACACACTGCTGTGTTGCATCTCATGCTGTTGCAGACAGTCTCTCCCCCCCCCACCCCCTCTTGGAACGCTGCTCCACTGCAGTTCACAGTATGCAAAAGCCTTAGTTTTATTTCTATGTTTTTACAACAACTCAGGGTGCTGTTTGGATTATCTGCCATGGCTCCACAAGGTCTCGGGCTGCTCTCCCATTTTATACTCCTTTTTAAAACATTTCTTCTATGCCAAGCTTGAATTTTCAATCACATTCTCAGGGAGATTTCCCCCCAATAGCTAAAAGCCAAAACGCAGACCGCTAGTATGCATTTCAAACACAGGTGGGATGCAGAAACCAAAAACAGATCAGCTTTAGGTTTATGGAAGCATCCATCATGTCTCTGCTGAGGGCCCTTCTATCATCGCCTCTCTTGCTAAAACACACCAATCTCCGTTATTCTTTCAACATGTGAGCTGGTGGCAAGCGGAATCCATTCTGCTGTCCCACAAATAAAATTACACATTCATTTCTGACTCCAGAGCCCCGATTTTTTGGCACAGAGAACAGAGTCCTATCACCAGGATAAACTGCTGCAGGAGACAACCCATCAGAAAGCGATCTTGATCATTTTTCAGAGAAATATTTAAACCCCAGTTTTCTGCCGAATCACCTCCCTGAACAGCTTGGGATTCAAATCCACAGCAACTCATATAATGGAAAGAATGGTCAATCGGGGCTGGACTTCTGGGCAGAGGTTCGAGGCCCTGGCTCACAGGATCAGCTGCCACCCGCCTCCCACTCTGGCTGCTGTTTTGTATTTGAAATATGTGTTGCCACTTAATGCGGCGGGAGAGACATACGGCCAGCAAATCCAGAATCTAAATTCACAACTCCTTTTCTGGCAATAGTGTAGAGCTGGCATGGTGTAGCGGACAGAGTGTCAGATGAGGGTCCTGCAAGAGCCGGGCTCGAATCCCCAGTTCTACGAAGGAAGCTTGCTGGGTGATCTTGGGCCCATCACAAACTTTCAGCCTGGCCTACCTCACAGGGTGGTTGTCATGAGAAAATGGAGGAGGGGAGAACAATGTTCTACAGCTGTTTTGAGTCTCAACTGGGGAGAAAAGCAGGATATAAATGAATAAACGCATATGCAAAATGCAATGGTTGTCATTGAGGCAACCTGCAGAAGTCTGGTCTAAGATGCAGATTCTCTTTAGTAGCCAAGAATGTCCTTCCCTGTGCTGTAGAGAGGGCATCCTTTAGGGGTGATGTGCCGGAAACCCCCAGGGACCTATGACTGACGGATGGAATCTTTACTTTTGGTTCAACTCACAGTAGTTTTCAAATCTTAGTCCTTTCCCCAAACCTTCCAGTAACCCACTGCTGTGGCAACTGGCTCATGGCGGCGCTCAACTGGCATCCATTTGAATGGAACTTGTACTGGGATAGTGCCCTGGTCTCCTCCACCTTTCATCTCTATCTGCACAGTGAGGTTCCTTGGATATCAGGTAAATACAACCACATTTCTCCTATTCCAGGATGAGTAACAAGAGCAGAAGAAGAGAAGAGATTGGATTTATACCCCGCCCTTCACTACCCAAAGGTATCTCAGAGCGGCTTACAAACTCCTTTTCCTTCCCCTCCCCACAACAGACACCCTGTGAGGTAGGTGGGGCTGAGAGAACTCTGGCAGAAACTGCTCTTTTTCAAGAACAGCTGTGGCAGAATTATGGCTTGCCCACGGTCATCCAGCCAGGTGCAAGTGGAGGAGTGGGGAATCAAACCCGGTTCTCACAGATTAGAGTCCGCATACTTAACCACTACACCAAACTGGCTCCTGGCAGTGTTTGCCAGTTGAGAGGGAAAGGAAGGAAGGAAGGAAGGAAGGAAGGAAGGAAGGAAGGAAGGAAGGAAGGAAGGAAGGAAGGAAGGAAGGAAGGAAGGCTACTCTTTATAAATTAGTAAGCCGTTTACTTATAAATACGTTTTGAAACTGGCAGTTTCTTGGAGCCCTGTTTAGGAGGGGTGGGAGGAGAGAAACCTTGAATTCAGCTGAATCCATTATAGAACATAAAAGCGATGATGTTTCAGCAGAGATACATTTTTTTACAGGCAAGATTAAAATGGGTGCCCTATTTATACACTATTGCCGAAGACAGGAACACACGCTTCCTTTAAGAAGCAGGGAGTTAAGGCACGAGGTGCAATTATGACGCAGCCCTCTTTGAGGCCCAATAGAAAACTGTGCCTCTCGACGCGCCACCAGGGAGGCTTTGTCCTCAACAGGCGCCCCCCTGCAGCATCACGGCGATGGCTTTGTCAGCGCACAGCAGCCCAAGGACATCCAAAACAATACATGTTTGGAACAAAAAGTGCAGGTAAATATTTGGAGGCGTATTGGAAGTGGCAAGTCAGCTGCAATTGGGGGAAAGAAGAGTCCAAAAGCACCCACATGTCTGAGGCGGCAACACTACCCTTATTCCTGGACAGGAGCCAACCGGCTGAGTCTGTACCCACAAGCAGCTTGCACTATGTGTAAGCACTAGAGGGGCATCAGCACAGTCACCAATCTCCAGGTGGAACCTACAGTTCTCCCAGAATTACAACTGATCACTCTCTTTTTTTTTCTTTTTCATTTTTGTAATTCCATTTTCTGCATAGCATGTCTGATTTTTTTGCACTCTTTGTAATCTTGGACCTATTGCCTTGCTTATTAGAGCTTTGGTGCTCTTTGATGACACTGTTTTGCACCAAGTATCCTGTTAGTAAGAAAAGACTATAAATAAAGGAAATGAGTAAATCAAAAGAAATAAAAGCCAGCCTGGTGATGGAGAATCCAGCAAAGGAATCGGCCCTCAGATGGCCAGTTCTTATGATTCCTGATCACATCTGCACCTAAACTCTGGAAGGAAGCAGGTGTGTGGCTGCCAGTTACTTGTGGGCATTCCTTAGGGTTGCCAAATTGACTTACCTCTGCTGGCGGGGGACTTTGTGCTGGCTCCCGGCAGCATGCACGTCACAGGGAAGTGACGTCATGACGCCGGGGACGCTGGGGGCGGGGCACAGCCATTTGAGGGGAAAACATAGAGTTTTCCCCTCAAATGGCTGTGCCCCGCCCCCAGCGTCCCCACGTCACTTTCCTGTGACGTGCACGCAGGGGTGGGGTTTCCCCCGGGGGCCGATTCCACGGGGGCGGAAATCGGACCTCCAAAGCGGGGGGAAATCTGCCCCCCGGGGGGATTTGGCAGCCCTAGCATTTCTGCATGCAGCCTATTTTTGACAATGTTTCCCATGAACCTTCCAGGAAGCTAAGCAGGGCCAGCCCTGGTTACTACTCGGATGGGAGACTACCAAGGAGGTCCAGGGTTGCTCTGCAGAGGCAGGCAATGGCAAAACACCTTTGCCTGTCTCTTGCCTTGAAAACCATATGGGGTCGCCGTACGTCTGCTGAGACTGGACAACACTTTCCACCACCGCCACCAACCAAACAAATGAACGCATCCACATCCAAAGCAATGTTCCCTCTAAGCTGTGGAGTCTTGTGAGCACAAATTCTACTTTGTGAGCTACGGGCATTAAAGCTGCGGGCGAGCGATTTGGCTACTGCATAAATTAGCTAGCTCTGGAGCCATCCTTCCTGAGCTAAGACAAAAAATGTGTGAGCCAGGGGCTAAAAAACTGTGAGCTAGCTCACACTAACTCAGCTTAGAGGGAACACTGATCCAAAGCTGAAGTGGTTTGCTTCGGAAACAAATTGAAGGTGCAATACAATCCCTGCAGTCATTAGAAAGGTAGCTTCAGACTGTTGTCTGAGATGCCAGGCCAGTATACCGCACTTGTAATTCCCCCCCTTCAGAAAAGTGTCGTGGCACGGCAATTGGTGCAACGAAAATGCTACTCAAAATGCCACAGCCAAACGACCGGCAGAAGGAGAAGACGCCCACTGGCTGGGACACAGGGCTACATTTGCTTTTTTTTTTTGGAACAGAACAATAAGTCCGCATACCTGGAACATCGATTAATCTCTTGTAGACATTCAGGAATGCTGCCTCTGCTTCTTTACTTCTTTTACCCAACGCATCAATCTGAAAAAGCGAAAAGGGGTGGGAGAAGAAAGAGGGTGAGTCTCAGATCAACTTTAGAAGGCAAAAAAAAAAGCGCCATCCTGTCGACTGACTCACGACACTATGCAACACGCCAGAGGGGCTGGATTTATGACTGTATAAACATCACTGGGGAAGCCAGTTCATTTCTCGTTTGAAATGGGAAGCTGAGCTCTGTGCAGCAGGCTAATGGTAGGGCTGGAAAAAATACTGCCTCGCTCTCCGGGCTCCAAGCATCAGCATCCAATTTCTAGGCCCAAGCGGAACTGGGCTCCTGTTCAGAGGGGGAGGCGGCTGAAGCAATGGCCTGCATCGACAGACAGCAAGGGGCAGAGTTTCCTAGCCACCTGACCCTGAAGCCTTGAAAGGGGTCAAGCAGCATCACCTGATCCGCTCTGGGCAATCGGCATCAGGTGGCTTCCTCAGCCGACCTCCCTGCAGCTCCCTTGCAGGGAGTGCATATGGTGCATATGGTGAGTCCCTATTTGGGATCCCCTCCACAAGACCCATGGCAGACTCAGGTCCAATATTCATAGGCCACACGGGCCTTCTGAATGTCAAGGCACCCAGGAAGAAAGACTCCTGGACGTTCTGCAGCTCAGCTTAACAGGCATCAAAAAAAATATATTAAAGACAGATATTTTGCAGTGTATTTGGTAAGACTCCTGGCTATACATTTCTGCCCAGTTTCACCTCACACTGCACGACTGGTTCCATAGTTCGTCCACCTTCATTCTCAGTCCCACCTGTGGATTTCAGCAAGTTGTAAAGACCTCACTGGAAAAGCCCCCACCAAGAGATCGCAAACGTATGGCACTAGCTTCTCACTCTACTATATTTTAAAAGGCACAGAATACACCACAACCTCTTCCATTTGTACGGGGGCCATGGCTTGCAGCCTATGACCTTGATTACGGGGTTGTCCATTATTCCTATGGGGAGAGGCTAAAGAGGATTTTCAGGTTAGAAAGAAAAGATGAATGGTGCTGGTGGGCACCCTTGGGCACCCTTGCACATTGGGCACCCTTGCACCAGACTAGTGTTGTTTTGTCTGCACAAGCATTCTGAGCTGACTTAGCTCTGAATTCTAAAAACATGAGTATAGTTTTAGGAGTGAAATGGCTTCTTCTATGTAGAAAAGCTCCATCCAGAGAAAGTAAAAAAACCAAGAAATGGTAGGCAAAAAAAAGAAGAAGAAGAAGTTAGCTACAACTCAGACTCTTTTAAGCATGAAACATTTCAACATTAAACTGTCAACTTCAAATACAACCCACATCTCCCCCGGACCCATGCCGAGCCCTTTGGGCTCAGCCACTTTTCTATAAGGTGGTCTCACACAAGTAGGGGTTGTGTGCACACATAGCCAAGTGGGCAGGGCCGATCTCGGTCTCCGCACTCCCATCAATCGCACATGGGATCACCTCACGGACCGGCATCTGCATTCCACGGTCCCCTAGATCATGCGATCCTGAAGGGAAAGTTTCCCAAGAACGGCCTGTGCTGAACCAAACTGCATCTCAGCTGGAGCTGGCGATGGAGAAATGTGAATGATGCTGCATTGTGGATCAAAATAAACAGATAGGAAGCTCTTCAAGAGGAAAAAGAGTACAGGGAACTTTAAAAAATAAAATAAAATCCTGGCCTGGAGTGCCTTCCCTGTTTCCTCACTAGGTTCTAACCAGATGTTGCCCAGAGGTTTTCATTGGTCTTAGAACACACCATGAGGACTAGAAACATCATTGGGGAGGGGGAAGGCTGAGGCTCTTGGGGTGCTAAACAAAAAACATCACCTGTCAAATTAAACACACAAACACACACACAGAGCCTGGCGTACGCATGCCAATACTGCAGTGATGCTTGTGGCCGTTCCTGCCACTATGTCTTCTGTTCTCCATGCCTCAAATGGCTGCCATTTTAAACTAGGCAAGCCGTCCACCTGAGCTGAAAAGCTGTCTCCAAGATTCCCCCTTCTTGTAGCCCAGTCTGGATGCACCTGCTCCTCTACTGCCATATGCTCTGTAGCTCCCCTCTGGCCTCAGAACCAATGTGGCTACTCCTGACCTCTTTCCCCTGCCCTTAAACTGGGCACCCGAGATTGGCAGAATGAGGAGAGCCTAGCAGCAAAGAGAAGGAGTTCCGTGAGGGTGCCGGTTCGGATCTCACCTCAGCGAGCTGCTCAGCCGTCCCAGGTGCAAACCAGGGATAACTAGCTGGCCTATCTGGCGGGGCCTTTGTGAGGACTGCAAAAAGCTAAATATGTACAGAGCGCTGTGAACACTGAAAGCACTGTAAGAAAAACTACGAAGCATTAGTATCGGCTTGAGACGGTGGGCTACAAATCAAATCAATCAATAAACCACTATTGTCTGTGTTTTAATTTCGCGCCATTGTGAAACTGCTCCGAAGAACATTATAAAGTCAGAAGTGGAAACCAACCCTCCCGGGTTGGCAGAGAAAGCATGGCTCAAGGGCCGAACACCTGCAAATCCCCCCAGAACCCCAAAGTTAAGAGTTTTTCAGGAGGAAGGGCTGGCAAAGATTTCAAGCCGAAACCTTGGACAGCATCCCCTTTTCAGAACGGATACTGGGCCAGGGGTCCAACTTCAAAGGCAGCATCACATGTTCTTTCTTCCCAGGCTGCGCCACTGCATGTGGGGGAAAGTGAGCCTGCAATGTGAGCCTGTGTGGGTTGTAGGAAGCATTGTTAACACTGAGAGAGACAAGGCAGCTGCTTTCGAAGATGGGTCCGTCACTCATCCAAGCCATTAACAGGTCAGCTTGGGAAGTGATACATCCTTAACAGCCTGGTGATAAACAACCCATGCTCGGCCTAAACCATTATGTAGCACTTACTGGACAGGTAAGATATCGGCTGTGCCTAGATCAATAAATGCACCTCCTTGCTTTTAACGCTAGCAGCGAAACCGACATCATGAGCTAATGGGCCAGGCACCTTTATTTATTTATTTATTTCGGGGCCGGGGACGTGACACCAGCATCCATCTGACTTGTCAAGTGAATTAAAAATTAGCACGTGCAGAATAACTCAGTCTGGAGTGATGGTTTTAAAGAGGGGGATGTATAGCAACACATGGACATGGCAACTTGTGGGGAGACCGAGCCAACGTATAGCTTTGGCTGCTAGGAGTCAAATTTCTCCACGTGGCCGCGAGAGTGTAAAACTTGTGCCCATCAAATCAGTTGACTCTTAAAGAGAAATCAGGTATGCACGGGATTTTAACAAAACTTTACCAGTTCAGAACCTGGGTGGTGAGACAGTCTGGGCCAGGTTCACATAATTGTGCATTTGTTAAGTACCGCCAAGTCGCTTCTGACATGGCAGCCCTATGAATTAATGCCCTCTGAAATGCCCATTCATGAACAGCCTTGCTCCTCAAGTCTTGCAAACGGAGGGCCTTTGTGGCTTCCTTGACTGAGTCAATCCTCGTGCTGGGTCTTCCTCTTCTCCTGCTGCCTTCAACTTGTCCTAGCATGATTGTCTTTTCAAGTGACTCTGGTCTTCTCATAATGCGACTGAAGTGCAACAGCCCCAGTTTAGTCCTTTTGGTTTCAAGGAAGGGTTTGCATCATTGCTAACCTAGCCTATAGCTATGATGGGCTATTCAGGGCTCCGCCCCCTTCCTTGAAGGGCCGGCCCCACAAGATTTCCTTCAAAAAATGCTTTTTAAATTATTTAATTATTAAATTATTTTTTGCACTTGCAGTGGAGTGGTCCCCCCCCCCCATTTGGCTGGCTGGAACAAAACAGGGAGAAAGGAGGGAAGGCATTGGGGGGGGGGGAAGGCATGCATGTGGGGGGGTGTTGAGTCAATTTCCCTGGGACTCCCTTCCCTTCTTCCTTCCTCTGCTGCTCGGTTGGATGGTGAAGTCTAAGTACAGTTGTTTACAGAAAGGCAGAAAAATAATGGTAGATAATGGCAGTCCCACCAGGAAAAAAAATTGCCCCACAAGCCACAAAATCCTGGCTACAGGCCTGTTGCTAACTCATAAAAATCATGCATGAGTTTACTAACAGTTTGACCATAGGGTAGCTGCACAGGGTGCTGCACAGGGTTGCCAGGAGGAAAGAGCGGGGCCAGGAAATAAACCACATATACCTTTGGATGCTACCCACTTAAAATCTACTTCCACCCAACCTTAACATTTGCAGCCTCCTACCCCTCCTCATTCCAGTCCCTGCGAACTGCTGATCAGCAGAGCAAATGTGAAAGAGCTGCCAGTCTTCTTAAAGAACTACACCTCCAAAGGTGAAGAAAAGCCCTGAACAGGGTAAGATCAGAATGTATAAGATCAAGATGTTTCCAGGTCTTGGGTTATTATCAGCCCACATTGCCTTCCGTTCGACAGCCCACAGCGGGCATCTAAGAGTGTTAAAACACACAGAGGGCTGGGGGCTCAATCCCTGGCACCTCCAGTTCAACGATCTCAAGCCACAGGAGTTGCAAAAGACCTTTCTCTGCCTGAGACCCAGGAAAGCCGCTGCCAGTCACAGTAGACAGTAGTGAACTGGAGACGGAGAGGCTCTATATAAGGTTATAAACACCATAACCGATATCTGGCACAGTGCAACGTGCGCAGCTTATCAGAACATCCTTTTGCACGTCTGTGCTCTTTCCCAAATGCCACATACCACAGGGCAGCCAGGAAGGCAGGCCTGAGTTCCTTTTCCCTCCTGCACAGGGGGAGAAAGCAGCACATTCCCCCCCCCCCTTGCTAAGGCAAAGAAGTCTCCATTGGCTACTCCGCCTCCAGCGTTTCACTCTTCACCATTTCTACTACCACCTCCACTACATCCAACTTTCCCTCCCATTTCAGAATGTAAGTAATTTCCACCCATTTCAACTTGGGAGTCATTCAAATCCTTCAGCAAAGAAGCGTGTGACCCACCACACTTGTGTTGCTTGGCACCGCACAAACTCCGGATTTCATTGCCACACAGCTCTCGGAAAGCCACACGGGCT